AGAACAAAACGTGAAATTCCCATTGACTTCAATAGAGTTTTGTGAAATAAAATGCTATACTAAACAAATGCATTGGTGTAATATTACAAAACTCAGTGTGTGCCATAAGCAGCATGCCCTGAAGGTACTCAAAAGATTTTGAGACAGCGCCACCTGTTGGTCAAAAGTTATAATTAATTTCTGAGAACGCTAATAACTTTTGAATAAATTTGCCTATTGCAATGAAACTGATCTTAATAGATTCCTTGGGTTATGCCGAAAACATAGATATCAGGTTTTCCATAATCAGACAAACTTCCTGTTCGCCATCTTTATTTCTTTGAAAAACCTTCTTTTTCGAACTCCTCCTAGACCGTTTGTCCGATTTTCACGAAAATTGAATCGTATCATCTCCAGACCGTGCCGACTAAAAGTTATGAATTGCACGATGATAGACAAAACCGTTTTCGTATACCACAGCATCAAAGTTTAGGCATGCTGCCAAAATTACTATTTAGGCTTTATCTCTGCAATGCCTTCACATTTTGACACCAAACTTTGCATGTGTCATTGTCACCTCACTCTGACCACATCACATCTATTTCGTAACTGCGCCACCTATTGTTCGAAAGTGATAACCCATTAAATCATCTTATAAGTTAATGTTTATGTGATTTTCTTAGCCATTTGCCCAAAGTTCTCTCAAAATGCCCTTAATTGCTCCTTGCTGCAGTTGGTCTGCCACTCCTTGCCATTTTGGCATATGTTGCCGCTTCTTGCGCTTGGCCCCGGTAATGGCTGCTTGCAGCTATATTTATTATTATTAAGCACCGAATATTATTATATCTGTGCCGGTTCTGGGCGTCTATGCAGCCATAGACCGGTTTGCGGGAAGTTGTTTTGGTTTGACATTCTGATAGAGGACAGTCCCAACTTTAAATACACCAATTTTGGTGTCTCTAACTTCATTCCTCTAGCGCCACCAACTGTCCAAAATTTCACTTTTTTATGCTAATAACTTTTGAACCGTAAGGCCTATCAACAAAATTCTTTTTTCCTCTTGTTCCTGAGCTCATGCCGATTCGATCGCACCCTATGACGTCATTTTCCGTCATAAAAAACGGCCGCCATTTTGAATTTTCCAAAAAACCTACTTTTGCGAACTCGTCCTAGACGGTTTGTCCGATTTTCACCAAAATCGCACCGGATCATCTCCAGGCAGTGCTGACAAAAAGTTATGGAATTCAGATGATTCGAGTATAATCGTTTTTCGATAAACGCTAAACAAATTTTTACGTAGCGCTTGCGAAAACAGACGTGAGGCTGTATCTCCGCAACGCTTACTCGTTTCAGACCAAACTTGTAGTGTAATCACAAGCATGACCTGAGGCTACATGCAGCGTTTCGGCGCAGCGCCACTAGTGGTCCGGAGATATGAAAAATGGCTATTTTTCTGCTCGTAACTTCTGAACGGTTTGTCCAAAAATCAAAAACTTGGTCTCGTTAGATTCAGGGCATCATGCCGAGTCAACCGATATCCAATTTTCCCAGATCGGCCATTTTGGCTGTCCGGCCATTTTGAATTATGTGCTAAAATGCTGTATTTTTTTGAACGCATGAACGAATTGTTACGAAACTCGGTATGGGTCATCAGTACGATGCCCTGAAGGAGCCTGAGAAGTTTCGAAACAGCGCCACCTAGTGGTGAATTTTTTTTTTCAAACGCTTATAACTTTGGGTGTGGTACACTTATTTTCACGGGAGTCATATTTTGAGGTCCTGAATCGTTGCCGAGTCCAACGATACCAAATATGTCGGGTTTTCGTCTCACGGATGGCGTAGCGTAGCGATTTAGCGCGAAAAAAACACTTGGCGATATCTTCAAAACCGCTGTTCCGATCGAGACGAAACCCGCCAGAAACACGGAATCATAGCTTGTTAACTATACGCAAATGCCCAAATGCGAAAATATTGATAGTAAGGGGTAGTAAAATTCAAACAAAGTCATGTGTCAGTCATTTTTTACGTGTTTTTTCATATAAATGTTTATAACTCGGAAGCGAATTGAGATTTTTCACCAAAATTGACACATATGTATGGGGTCACTCTGAGGACACATAAAAAAAATTTTGTGGGACTGAGCCTCTTGGTGGCCGCTATAATAGAACAAAACGTGAAATTCCCATTGACTTCAATAAGAGTTTTTGTGAAATAAAATGCTATACTAAACAAATGCATTGGTGTAAATTACAAAACTCAGTGTGTGCCATAAGCAGCATGCCTGAAGGTACTCAAAAGATTTTGAGACAGCGCACCTGTTGGTCAAAAGTCATAATTAATTTCTGAGAACGCTAATAACTTTTGAATAAATTTGCCTATTGCAATGAAACTGATCTTAATAGATTCCTTGGGTGCTGAAAACATAGATATCAGGTTTTGCATAATCAGCCAAACTTCCTGTCCGCCATCTTTATTTCTTTGAAAAACCTTCTTTTTCGAACTCCTCCTAGACCGTTTGTCCGATTTTCACGAAAATTGAATCGTATCCATCTCCAGACGGTGCCGAATAAAAGTTATGGATTGCGTGACGATAGACCAAAACAACGTTTTCGTATACCACAGCATCAAATTTGAGGCATGCTGCCAAAATGACTATTTTAGGCTTTATCTCTGCAATGCCTTCACATTTTGACACCAAACTTTGTATGTGTCATTGTCACCTCACTCTGACCACATCACATCTATTTCGTAACTGCGCCACCTATTGTTCGAAAGTGATAACCATTAAATCATCTTATAAGTTAATGTTTATGTGATTTTCTTAGCCATTTTGCCAAAGTTTCTTCAAAATGCCCTTAATTGCTCCTTGCTGCAAGTTGGTCTGCCACTCCTTGCCATTTTGGCATTGTTGCCGCTTCTTGCGCTTGGCCCCGGTAATGGCTGCTTGCAGCTATATTAGGG